TTCAGTCTCTGTCTGTCAGACCTAAAGCCAGTAACACAGTAGACCTGCGGTTCTGATCAGGTCTGAACAGACCTGGGTTCTAAGCTTTTTCTGGTCCTTCTCTTCGTGGACTGGACCCGTGGTTCTGTGGTTCCTGGGGTTCTGAAGAGATATTTTCCTTTCTGTGGACAGTATGATTCCTGATTGTTCCTCATCGCTCCTCATTATTACTCATCATGCCTCATCGTTCCTCATCATTCCTCATCGTTCCTCATTGTTCCTCATCGTTCCTCATCGTTCCTCATCGTTCCTCATCGTTCCACATCATTCCTCATCGTTCCTCATCGTTCCTCATCATTCCTCATCGTTCCTCTGTTGTTCTCTGGATGTTTGAAGCAAAGTTCAAAGCAGCTGAAGATGAGGAAGTAGAACCGAGCCAAATAGACGTGTGATTTCAGACAGGGTGGCCCCTCCTCTCCTTGTATCGCTGAGGCGACGGGTTCCAGCTCATTACTGGGCCGCTGTCAGCATCAGGCCTCCGTCACCAGTCAGTTTTATCCTCTGCTCTCTCTTCATGTTCTGCTGGAAACCTGCAGACCTCAGGCGGCCCTCATGGAGCTGGCCTCCCTCGGTCAGCTGGATGCAGAGGAGGTTTCCACAGCTGCACTGGGAGCTCTGGGAGGAATCTGGTTTTACTGTGTTGGGATCTTCTCCAGGTGGGATCAAGCTTCAGCTGTGGGTTAATGCTGCACTCAGAGCTTTGTTCTGGTCTCTCTGGTGTGTTTGGGAGGTTGTTCTTGTTTTTCCTCTTTGTAATCATGATGATGTAGACCAGCTGAAAACAGTGAGTTCTAGTTCTAATCTCTAACCTCCTCTTGGATGTGATTCCATTTCAGGGTTTGATATCCTTAAGATCTCAGAGGATTTGCATTCCTCACATTCCTGCTCTGTGTTTTCACTGCCAGTTTCAGCTGCCTGTGTTTATATTGCAGAGACAAATGTGAAGCAATGGCTGCAGCTAAAAGCTAAAAGAAGGGCTTAACTTTTAAAATGCTGCAGCTGAAGGTTTTAATTTTTGTTGGTTTGATGCCAGAGACTCGTTGTCAGGTTGTTTTTCAGTTTATCTTAGCTCCAACTGAGATAGACACATGGTCGATTTTAGTTGGACTATGAAGCGAATCAGCAACAATTTCATGGGTCTGACAGGAAGAGAGACGCGTTACAAAGTAAAACACATCCGCTTTGAGGGAAAATACAACATAAGTCAAGTCAGCTTTTATTGTCATTTTCTACATATGTACAAGACATACAAGGGAAATGAAATTACGT